TGCAAAGGTTTAGTAGTTGACTTAACACTCTACGTAAATTGGGATTATTTTGAAATTCTCACCCCACACATCACGATGGAGAATGATTAAATATGAGAGATATTCAAATGTAATAGGTATATGTACATTTTATACATTTTTTGTACATTACAAAGTCATTAATTTCGTCGTTAGAAACGCTGCCACGAGATCAACAGGGGATGACAATGAAACGACAAAAGTGAAAATTTAGGAAAGCCTTTGGAATTTCAAACTCTTTTTAATCGCGCGAACAATCGTGAAATTTCCATTCAGCTCGGGGCAAATGAGACGCGAGCGTTGCGGGTCCGCGTTTATGGATCGAGCGGGAAGATTAAGGGAAACGATGGCTGGCGTGAATGGGCAAACAGCGCACGCGATTGCAAAGATAAGGCACGAACGCGTGCGAAAACGGTGACTAGCGAAATATAATATGCGCGGAAGATTGCACGGTTAGAATTGCAAATCGCGGTGTTGTATCGTCGCGATTTGAATACGCCGTCATTCCAGAAAAAAAACTCGTCAAAAACGAAGGGGAAGAAGTTTTTACTTTCGCGGAACGCGATTCGAGAGTGAAACAATGAAATGAGAATTCATACAATCCACCCTTTTAACCCTGTTTTTCTTTACTCTTCTTTCTCTCTTTAAAGTCTCTAAATTCGAAAGAGAGAGAGAGAGAGAGAGAGAGAGAGAGAGAAACAAGTTTATGGCCTCATTTTTCATTTTGCGATTTTGGTGCCGATCGTCCCCACGAGACCCGCGTATCGATATCTGGCTGCTCGATAGCGGATCGCGTCACAATAAGAATTAATCAGCTCGATCGCAAATATCATCTGACCTATCGACCATCCTAAATTGAAATAAACTCGACGACAGCGATCGTCGTTTGGAACGTCGTGACGTTCGAGAATGAGCTCGACTCGAGAATATTCGTCTCTCAAGGAACGTTGTACAGACGTTGTTATTTTATTACACTCGACGAAGAGTAATTAAATTTCTGTTTCTGATCGATTTCCCGTGATTAATAATCTGTGCAAGTACCGTGCACCGTTGAGGGTAAATATTGGGACATCTGCGTCTGGGCCACGGTATACTATTTAATACAAATTGCTTTCGCTTTATAATCATTATGCTGGGAATTTATTACTCCGGTAATTTCCGAACTTTGACTTCTAGATTAATTCAGTTTTATGGCTGTGACCGATCAGTTCTACAGTTGTAAAATACGATTACACGGCGATGGACGAGAAAGGTAGTAATCTGTTAAATAACATATAATTCTTCGTTCACATCAATGATAAATTGCAGTTCAATTAAAAATTACCCATGCATTTTGCAGTGTGCATTAAAACAAAGTAAATGAAATAAAATTTATTTGAATCACTTGGAATCGTTGAGACTTCAAAATACTTCAGTTCTTACACTTTTGAACAATTTCTGAATTGTTTAAAACCGAGAACTTGCGACAGAGGAATGAAAATAGCTGGAGGAGAAATGAAGTTTCATTTGATTTGACGAACCGTACGTATACACGTAAATTTTACGAGCATACTCGGCGACCTTGGCAAGCTTGTATCCTTTGAAACTATAACTTAGAACAGTGTGCCATAACGATTCTTTCGATGAAAGTTGTCGTCAGCCTCTTCGACATTATATTTCATCAAGCTGATAAATAAATAAGGAAAATCGAACCAGATCGCTTTCATTCGACGTTCAATTTATCCACGCTCGTTGCATAATCGTTGCAACTTCATTATTTCCCATCGTCAGACATTTACGACGATCTCGCTGTGGCTTCGCCGGCTTCATGACCGATGGCGATACATTTCTCTCGATCTCCTCTTTATCCAATCCCGAGGAAGGTTTATGGCGCTTTAGCGCGATGTCCCCTGTCCCATGAATCATGCCAGATTTATGCGCAGAACAAGCGCGAAAGCGAACGCGTTAAAAGTGTGCCCAGCTAGCGGCCGCGAAACGGGAAGCAAAACCGTGAATCATTACGCGAAAAGGCGTACGGTGTGAAAATTGCGGACAAGATTTGTGGGATTATTGTGATTCCAGACACGGCGCAACGAGCGGAGAAGTTTATCGAGGAAAATGTTGTTGAACGAAGCTCGGTCCTTAATGCAGAATGAATATTCATCCGACAGTCATTCGAAATTCACTTTGAATTACCGGTTTGAAAGCACTTCCCGAAAATATGGATCTTTCCACAAACAATTAGAAATTAAATTCGTAATAAATATATTCAATTTAGTCTCTGTCTAAAAACAGAAATACATTGGTAACATGCGTGGGTCAATACTTCGTTCCTCGATTTAGAAACAATCTAGTTTTTTAGTTCAGAGATACATCTACGTAAATTTATATCATTCGCACGTTCGCCTCAATTTATTTCGATTTATTCTCCTGTGTAAATTTTCCCCGTTGTCAGTCACTCTTGCTATCTATATATTTTTTAACGTTGTCTAATTCCTTTTCATCACTCGATACGAGGCATCATATCAAACACGTAGGTTCGAAATTATTTTACTTGTCTACGATGTTACTGGATAAAATGGTAGCTATCGTGTCGCGTTCCTTTTGCGGAGTCGAAGGCAAGCTGGAAAAATGGCTCTTGTCTTTGCGACCGAAACATTCAATTTGCTGGTTCCAGAGTCGTTAATGGAACCAGTGCCACGTCCTCGAAGTAAGATGTATCTGTTTTCTCAATATCGCGTAGAGCTATCAATTTCTTTCGTTCTTATGCCGAGGTGAAATTGAACCACGGGTTTTGGAATACCTCGGAGTGAGAAAAAGAAGCGAGAAGATTGTGACGAGCTGCAGGGAGGAGT